CCCGCCGCCGCCGCCGCCGCGGCGGGAGGAAACGCGCCGCCCCGCTACGCCTCCCCTCAGGGCGGCGGAGATGGAGGTGGTGGTTTGATGGGGGGGGGAAAGGAGGGAAGGCCTCCCCCTCACAGGCCTGGGGAAGGGAAGCGGGAGCTCTTCTCCGGGCGAGAGGGGCGTTCCCCGCGGGGATGGCGGCCTCCTCCGGCCCTATGGTGGGGGGGGCAGGTGAGGCCTCTGTGAGGGGAGGCCGCAGCCATCCCGGCGCCGAGAACCCCCGGCGGGTGGATGGATGGATGGAGGGAGGAAGAAGCAGGGAGGAAGAAGCAGGGAGGAAGAAGCAGGGAGGAACCCCCCCCTCCCCTTTTCTTCCCCCCCGGCCCCGTTTGGCTCCTCACCTCGAACATGAGCCCCAGCAGGAAGATCATGGCCATGCAGGACACGATGTCGGCGTGGTTCTGCACGATGAACTCGTGGCTCAGCACCGGCGGGTTCTTGTTGCTCTTCTTGCGGATGGCCATGGCGGGCAGGGAGCTGGGGGCAGCAACCGCTGCCACCACCGCCGCCGCCTCCCCGCTGCCAGCACGGCTCTCCTCCTCGCCGCGGCCAGGAAGAGGCGGAGGTGGGGGGGGAGGAAGAAGGAGGAGGAGGAGGAGGAGGCGGCCGCTCAAGCCCAGCAATGGCAGCCGCCGCGCCGCTTCCACCCCGCCCCGGCCGCAGGGAGCAGCCCCCCCGCCGCCGACAGCAGCGCCCCTGCTGGCCGGCGGGCTGTCTGTCTGTCTGTCTGTCTGTCCGTCAGTCCGTCCATCCTTCCATGCGTCCCCCCTCGGGGGTCAGACCCACCGGCAGCGGGTGAGGAGGATGGAGGCCGCTGTGTGCCCGCAGAACCGAGCCGGACCCCCCTTCCCTCCCTCCCCCTGCCATCCAGCTTCACCTTTCCTTGCATTCTTTTTGGTTTTTCCCCCCCTTCTTGTGTTTTTTTTCTCTTTTTTTTTTTTTTTCTCCTTCCCCTAAGGCTGGAGGTGAACGTCGTTGTCGCCGGACCCCACCCCGGCTGGTCCCCCTGGTTCCCTCCAACGGGTTATGGGGGAAAAAGCTAACCGGGAGGTGTCAGAAGGAAGAGACGTTAAAAAGGAGGGTAAATGTGGATTAAAAAAAGCCCACCCGACCCCAGGAGGCTGTTCCCGGGTTACAGGAGGAGAAGGAAAAGGTCTGAGAAATCAACACCGACGCAGAAAACGTCCAGGCCCAACTGATCTGTCCTTCAATCCCCTCCAAAATTCGTGCTACTTTTATTTATTAAAGCTCCTGGCTGGCGGAGGCACCCAGTATAAGGAGAAGGTTCAAGAAAATGAGTAATTTATGGCCAAAGTTTAGCATTGCCTGGAAGGCTCTTGCAACTGGCAGCTAATGAATATGGGGAGGTTAAAATCAAACCATCCAGTGATGCTTTGCCTTGCTGGAATGGAGACCGCGCACCAAACGCACTGTACAAACCTTTTTTAATAGATTAGTTTCTTCCAACTGTACTGAGCTGTAAGTGACCCCCAGAGCAGACTAATTAGTGCAGAACCAGGTTTTTCAACTACGGAACACCTTCATCAGCTGTGAAGCAGCTTAGAGAGTTTGTGTGAGTTTGTTATTTCAAAAGACGGGGATACTCGGTGCCTGGAGTACTTTAAAAATACAGAAAAGGCTATAGAATTTTTTTTCCCTTCATAATTGGGAGTTGGTTTAAATATAAAAGTTTAAACAGAAGCAGCATTCATATTTCAGCCCCAAAATGTTTTGTATCTTTGAAATCTCCTCATCCCTGGGCACACCAGTGTTTTGTAACTCTTAAGTAAGAACGTTACATCAACAATAATGATGTGAAAGTGTATATATATATATATATATATCTGCCCGATTGCATACCATGGAGTTATGGACGTGACACTCTGCACCTGAGGAGTACATCAGGCTGGGATATAAACCAGAATCCTTTTTCCAAGGTAGTCTCACATCTATTTCCCACCTCAGCCTTAAAAGAAATCAGGACGTGTCATCTCCACAGAATGTGACAAATGGGACTTAACTGGGACAAGAGACAAGACATCCTTTCCTCAAGCTGTAATCAGCAAATGCCTCAGGTGCTGGCTAGAAGTCTAGGGGGATTCTGCCCCTCTGCTCTGCTCTGGGGACACCCCACCTGGAGCTCTGTGTCCAGCTCTGGAGTCCCCAGCACAGGAAGGACATGGACCTGTTGGAGCGGGACCAGAGGAGGCCACAGAGATGCTCCGAGGGCTGGAGCCCCTCTGCTGTGAGGACAGGCTGAGAGAGTTGGGGGGGTTCAGCCTGGAGAAGAGAAGGCTCCGGGGAGACCTTAGAGCCCCTTCCAGTCCCTAAAGGGGCTCCAGGAGAGATGGGGAGGGACTCTGGATCAGGGAGGGGAGCCATAGGATGAGGGGGAACAGTTTTAAACTGAAAGAGGGGAGATTGAGATGAGATACTAGAAAGAAATTCCTTGCTGTGAGGGTGGTGAGAGCCTGGAAGAGGTTGCCCAGAGAAGCTGTGGCTGCCCCATCCCTGGAGGGGTTCAAGGCCAGGCTGGATGGGGCTTGGAGCAACCTGGTCTGGTGGGAGGTGTCCCTGCCCAGGGCAGGGGGGTTGGAACTGGATGGTCTTTAAGGTGCTTTCCAACCCAAACTGTTCTATGATTGTATGTTTCTTACGGCTCTTTAGGCGACACCGGAGACTGTCAGCCCTCAGCCTGCTTCTTGCCAATGGGTTGCTGGTCTGTATTTACCAGGTTTCTTTCCAGATGTTTAAACTGATAGAGGGGGAGATATAGATTACATATTAGGAAGAAAATAATTACTGTGAGGGTGGGGAGGCACTGGAACAGGAGAGCGCGTTACAGCAATAACAGACAATGCCCTTCCAATTCTGCAACCTTTCCTAAATTCACTCGCCGTCAAACACGCTTAAAGATAGAACCAAGAATGACATTTTAAACTAAATGCAAATAACCAAGCTAGCAAGAAAGAGAATAGAAAACCCCCCCAAAAGGTTATAACTACCATCAAACTTCTTTCCTAGGTGTTAAAGCTGGTAAGTGATGCTGCCTCTCGGGACAGGATCTTCAAATCAGCCGGCAGGGAGGCTGGAAATGCAATTTGTGCTTCTTCCAGCTTCTGTCTCCACCTGTTTGGGAAGTTAATGCATGGAATGACATTTGCCCTTTCAGCCTGATGAGGCAGAAATTGCCCCTTCTTCTTCTGTTCTTAACTTTTAATGCTTTCTGCACAGACAAACACATTCGATACAAGGGGTGTTAAGAGGCCAATCCCCATTTTTATACATATATCATATATACATCCCAGTAACTGCCATCTCTGCTTTCAGTATTTCAGAGACACCGTTACACCAGCGTTAGCGACAGCTCTGCTTAAACTGCAACTTCCCTCCAGCAAAATGACATTATTCAGAGCACGCCAATTAAGTTCTTAAAAAAGAAAACAGTGACAAGTATTACAATTATTCGTAACAATAGAAAAGGTAACTATAAACTCGTGGAATAGCTACAGGAAAGCAGTAATTATTAAGGGAAAGAAGTCCAGGTGAAAGCCGCTGAGTAATTATGAAGAGAGAAACAATCCAAAAGGTATTGAAAAAAAAAATCAGGTTTCTGGGAAGAGGGGAAAAAAAAAAAACCACGGCTGAAATGGAAAATTGCAAATAAACAGAAAATATAAAAGGAAGAAAAATGAGGAGACCTGAAAAAGGCCCCAGAATGGCAACTGCACAGAAAGCTAAATGTCAGCGAGAGTCATGACGTGGCCAAAAATGAAGTTTGCAACAGAAAGTGTCATTTTATGGAGCAAAAAGTTATTGTTTCCTCTCTTTGGGGGCACGGTTACAACTTCTGCATATGCTTTCAGCTTCAGATTGCTGTCCCTGGGAGCATTTTTGGATTGGATTTGACTCGGTTGATCAGAACAAATGCCATCGACTTCATAAATTAACAACAATTACTCAGGTCTGCCTTAAGTAGCCAAACATCTGCATGTTTCACAAACAAAGGTACAGGATTGAACGGTAAAAGGGTTTCAAGGATTTCCAAGGACATATATTTGCCTTCGGTACCTTCAAACGTCTCCTATCTGATTTTTATTCTTTTTTTAAGGTTGAGCCAGCATTAAGAGAAGCTTATCTAACAAAAACTTCACACACTTTGAATACACAAAGCAATGCAAATATTTATACGCTATTCTGAAAGCTTAAGCTACACAGAGAACAGAGCTTGCAGTTTAAATTAATCTTTAAACATTTTATTTTAATACACTATAGAGTATCTTACAACCAAACGCAACCTTTAGTTCAAATATTTGAAGGGATAGAACAGCAAAAGTTAAAAGCTTGTTAGTTATAAAGTGACAAACTTAACTTCATAGGGTGTGTAATACACACCTGAATTTATACAGCTTTTAAATCACATTCTTGAAGAGTCTTCTAACAGAAAGCATTTAAGAGGCTGCTCCAACTCTGTGCATTTTTTGACATTCATTAGTTAAAATTTATGAATCCTTTGAATTCCACCAGAAAACAGACAAGTCTGGAATTCCTTTCAGCACCAGTTAAACCCCGTTGCAGTGAGCAGGCAGCAGAGATGTGCGCAGGCAGCTACATTACAAAAGGAATATAAACACCAGTATTTACACCCGTTAACAAAAATAATGTGGTTTTGAGACTGTACAGATAACTCATTAGAAAATCACAAGCAAGTGAAAAACAGATTTAGAATAACACCTGGTCTATTATTTTTACTAGAGATTTTTTAATATATTTATTAAGTTTACAATATTGCTTTGTAATATTAAGTTTATTAGACCTTGCTATTTTTCCTTCTGCCACCGACGAAAAACTGGGTATTTTATAACAGAAGTAACATTCAGTTCTTCGTACTCATTCCATTTTATTAACTCGGTACCTACAAGGTTACTTTTTAACTTCATAGGGTGTGTAATACACACCTGAATTTATACAGCTTTTAAATCACATTCTTGAAGAGTCTTCTAACAGAAAGCATTTAAGAGGCTGCTCCAACTCTGTGCGTTTTTTGACATTCATTAGTTAAAATTTATGAATCCTTTGAATTCCACCAGAAAACAGACAAGTCTGGAATTCCTTTCAGCACCAGTTAAACCCCGTTGCAGTGAGCAGGCAGCAGAGATGTGCGCAGGCAGCTACATTACAAAAGGAATATAAACACCAGTATTTACACCCGTTAACAAAAATAATGTGGTTTTGAGACTGTACAGATAACTCATTAGAAAATCACAAGCAAGTGAAAAACAGATTTAGAATAACACCTGGTCTATTATTTTTACTAGAGATTTTTTAATATATTTATTAAGTTTACAATATTGCTTTGTAATATTAAGTTTATTAGACCTTGCTATTTTTCCTTCTGCCACCGATGAAAAACTGGGTATTTTATAACAGAGGTAACATTCAGTTCTTCAAACTCATTCCATTTTATTAATTCGGTACCTACAAGGTTACTTTTAAAAATTATCAGGTTATTTTTTAAAATTCCCAGAGAACAGAGTATGAAAAAACATTAGTCCACAGACTGTAACATTGCTTTAAAATTCTATTACCACTTTAAAAAAAGAAGAGTGAAGAATTACATTGTATTTTACATACTGTCTGTGCTCATCGTTATATTTTTTCACGCTGCAACTGTGCAGATTAAAAATATTCTTGAGCAATCTTGTGTAATTTATAAATTGTGTTTCCATCTGAAGTTGGGAGATGCTTCACGTACTGTTAAGAAATAAAAAAGACCAAATAAGTCACAAACTAACACTTAGTCTAATGTTCATGGGTAGTATCTATCTCAGGCTTAACATGTACGTCTGTAAATGTAATTTTTCATTAAAAATCTTGGAATACTTTCCTTCAGGCCAGTATTGAGTTTTAATGGAAGGTGACAAACATTAACTGGTTCTCAATATAAAGAATTATTAATCAAAAAGGGTTTAATAATCCTACAGGTCAGAACATGAAAATTTTTAGATGTTAAGAAATTTGAGGTAGCAGAGCACCTGTTGCATATTCTGAAATTTGTGAACTTTATAGGAAAAAACAAATCTGTGCTCTCTGGTAACTTCGTAATACGCCTGTCACTGACAACATGTTTCTTTGGAAAAAATATTTTGTGAAAATTAAGCAGACAGTGTTGTGACTGGAACCCAAGGATTCCAGAATGAGAAGGAAACTTGAAATGCTGCAACTCAAGACTACGTGGAAAGGACATTGTATCAAAACCAAAGGAACAGGTAACATGAGTCCACAAGTGTCTGTAGGCTACATGCTCAGAACCAACAGAATCAATTCTCCTTAACAGATGTCCTTAATTTGAACTGAAAAACTGGCAAGGGTCACATGTTGTTAGGCATTTATCACAGCTCTGCCTCTAAACTTTTATTTAAAAATTTAACAACTGTGTCCGCCCTGCAGAAGTCAGCACAAAAAAAGCCCAAGTGTTTTGATGAGATTCCTTTTCTCCTCCTCTGTGAGCAAAAAACTGAAGATTAAAAAACAAAACCCAAAACCCAATAAAAACAAACCAAGAAACTTTAAAGGGCACTTCTTGTGAATGGTCGAAAGCAGGAGCACACAGCGGTATCAAGGACCTCCTACTGGAGTAGGAGAGTCACAACAATTCTTCTGATTAGCATTTCCTCTAATTATTTAAACTTTCCTAATAATTCAAGCAGGTGCTGCTTTGTGAACACATAGAATCATAGGATGGTTGGGGTTGGAAGGGACCTTCAAGACCATCCAGTGCCACCCCCTGCCCTGGGCAGGGACACCTCCCACCAGACCAGGTTGCTCCAAGCCCCATCCAGCCTGGCCTTGAACCCCTCCAGGGATGGGGCAGCCACAGCTTCTCTGGGCAACCTCTTCCAGTGTCTCACCACCCTCACACCAAAGAATTTCTTCCTGAGATCTCATCTCAATCTCCCCTCTTTCAGTTTAAAACCATTCCCCCTCATCCTATGGCTCCCCTCCCTGATCCAGAGTCCCTCCCCATCTCTCCTGGAGCCCCTTGAGGGACTGGAAGGGGCTCTAAGGTCTCCCTGGAGCCTTCTCTTCTCCAGGCTGAACCCCCCCAACTCTCTCAGCCTGTCCTCACAGCAGAGGTGCCTCAGCCCTCTGAGCATCTTTGTGGCCTCCTCTGGTGCCACTCCAACAGGTCCATGTCCTTCCTGTGCTGAGGACTCCAGAGCTGGACACAGAGCTACAGGTGGGGTCTCCCCAGAGCAGAGCAGAAAGGCAGACTTCAGACATATCTGTCTGAAGCTCCGTACTTCCTGTCTCTTCAAAATTCAGAGGTAATTTCTGAGAAAAACTGAGCTATTTTTGTCCAGTAAGCATGAAAAGCGTGTTTTCTGGCGGGGGAACTGAAAAAACCCCTGTCTTAAGAGATGGAAGTCACTATCTCAGTCAAACAAATTAATTCCTGGACTTCTTTTGTAGGGAAGACTGCAAGCTTACCTTTAAAGAGAAAGTTAATTTATCCACTACTTCACCTAAACAGAAAATGCTGCTTCTTAAGCTACTCTGGCAGTGAAAGGAAGGGATAAATGGTCAAGAGCACCTGATACCCCAGAAGAATCTCATTGAGCCAAACTGGAAAAATCTTTAGGTCAATAATGTATTAATAAACAAGAATTGAGACCACATTTAAGAGCTGGTGCAGTTAAGTGTCGTGCTGGTAAGCTTCCATGGCATTCTGCACAAAATATGCTCAAAGACAGCATTTTCTGAACTGCAGTAATGACTGTACTCGCGTGTGTTTATTTTCTTTGATTCAAAAGCAGGTCATTACTATTTCAAAAAATGAAGTCTCGATTGTTCAAGCAATTAGTACCTAGTAGCTGACTCCACATCAAAATAAACAGAAAGTCTAAGTTGGAAAAAATGCACTGATTTAATCACAGAATCACAGAATGATGTGGGGTTGGAAGGGACCTCTGGAGATCATCCAGTCCAACCCCCTGCCAGAGCAGGGTCACCCAGAGCAGGTCCCACAGGAATGTGTCCAGGTGGGTTTGAATGTCTTCGGAGAAGGAGACTCCACCACCTCTCTGGGCAGCCTCTGCCAGGGCTCTGCCACCCTCACAGGAAAGAAGTTCCTCCTCATGTTTAGGTGGAGCTTTTTATGTTCAAGTTTGTGCCCATTTCCTCTTGTCCTGTCCCTGGGCACCACTGAAAAAAGACCAGCCCAATCCTCCTGACACCCACCTTTTCA